AGCTTAAAAACAGCTCGACAGCGCAAAAGGAGGAAAGCGCAAAAGGAGGGAAAATTTTTCTAAGTCCAACTTTTCCTGTCGCCCCCTTGATGCTCACTGCTACGCAGCCTGACTGGGTGACCCGATCCGCCCGCCCTTCAACCCCATGACTCAAACACCAATACCATTCCATAAATGCCCTAGTAGTGGGTTGCTGGTCCACCGTGGGGGTTGGTGGCTTGGCCGCTCCCTGCGCGCTCGCGTCGCTCCCAACCATTCCCTCCCGTGCTCGGTCCAGCGCAGACTTTTTCACCGGCTCAAAGCGGAAATCTACATTATCATTTATGGGCAACATGATGTTGGCAGAGAGAAGAGGCTAGATGACACTTTGAGATTCGGACCTGGAACCCGTAGTGATTTAGGCGGATTGTTCTGGCACCAATGACGTGAATGGGTTGGTTGGTCTGTTGGTTGGTTGGTTCTGAACTGGAAACGACTTGACTTGACGTTTGCTCGGCTTTCGTTCTGCTTCGTTGATCATCCAGGCGACCTGTAACTTTATGATGTGAAGATGTTGTATCATGTACATGTAAATGCAGTCAGTCTCCTTTTTTTTTTTTCACCTCTTTCTTTTCGTTCGTTTCAAAACCAATTCACTAAGGGTGCGTTGCCAAAATTTTCAAATATCAACCAACCAACTTTCTTTTCAAAATCCGCCTTCATCATTACTGGTCAACCTCCACTTGGTCTTTGGCCACTGACCTGGGGGAAAATGCTCCGAATCGTGTGAGCGCGTGTTGAGACGCGAGCATGGGTGGAACGGGAACAGACGCAGACTGGCCGAAAGTGCCGCTTTGTTGAACGAGCCATCCGTTTGAAACTGTTTTGTTTCACTTTCGGGTTTTGTTGGGGCTGGTTTTCTATTGGGACTCCATTCCCGCCCCCTCCCCGACTTGACAGACGATACTGCTTGTGTTGTTTCATTCGGCCACTTGGTGTTTGCTTGGAGGGGTGGTGGTGGCGGTGGTGGTGATGCGCTGACATTTGTATCAAACTACAGACTGACTTCTGAAACAATACAAAAACAGTCCTTTCCATGAATTCAAATCCAGTCGAGCCGACTCTGGTGCCGGCCATCAGCAGTGGATCGGTATCGTACACGACAAGCGCTGCAGACCGCCCCAAGCTGTCCTTTTCAGGCGCGTCCGACTGCGGGGCCAAGATGGACGAGAAGTCGTTCAGCGTTTTCGACGACATTCCGCCAATTCTGACAACGGATGTTGCGCGCGAGTTTGCTACCATCATGAAAAACATTACAAGCACCAGCGAGGAATGGGAGCGCCGCGTCAATGCCTTGCGCATGATCCGAGGCTTGCTGAATGGCGGCGTCCTGCCGGAACAGCGCGAAGCCTGGATGCTCCACATGAAGCCGCTGGCAGACCCGTTCTGCGCCACCCTCCGGGATCTCCGCTCGGCAGTCATGCGTGAAGCGTGTATGACGCTCAGCCACATGGCAATGACCATGAAGGCGGAAAT